AGAATTGAACCAGATTCTGGTTGCTGAACAGGCTCTAAGGGATGCTAACTTGGTTGAGTTGAGAAGTGGGATGTTAGTAAAAACAGACTTAAAGTGGTGAACATAACAGAGAGAAGTGGGGTGTTGGTAAAAACAACCTTAGAGTGGTGTGAACATGACAGAGAGAAGTGGGATGTTGGTGAAAACAGACTTAGAGTGGTGAAAATGGCAGATAGAAGTGGGGTATTGGTGAGAACAAACTTAGATGAGTTTTGAGGGGAAAAAAAAGCAATGTACAAAATGATGAGAAAACTGCACCAGAAAAAACAAGTTTTTTTCTTGAAACTGGGACCCCAGATACCCCGTGACACTGGTCAGATATGTTTGAGCCATGTGACAAGGCTAAAAGATTTTTCAACAGTGTGACATGCTTAGAATATATCTGATTGATGTCACACCACTGAAACATTTCTGGCCAGTTAGACTTGGCTCAAACATTTCTTACCAGTCTGACACACTTCAAACATTTCTTACCAGTCTGAACCCCTTCAAATATTTCTGACCACTTTCACTTGACTAGGATATTTTTGAACACAATTTATTTACCCAAACATTTCTGGTCACAATATTACAGGTCAAATATTTTCTACCCAATCCAATATTATATTTTCTCCCAAAGGCAAAAAAATAAATGGCCACACAACCTATTAGCCTGGATACATTCTTACATTTTACAAGGCTAATAGCTTGTTCAAGGTGGGTGACTGAAGTGGATTGGTTTACATTTGTTTGAACCAGACGCTGTTGTCTCTCATTACCTTTGGTGTTCTGAGGTGGTGAGTTCCTCTTGTCATCTCCCCCCTTGCAGTTGAAGGTCTTTGGCAGTTGATGTGGATCAGCCCCAGCAGACGGTGCATGATGACAATGACAATGCACAACGACAGAGAACGACAATGCACAATGACAGTGGATGACAAGGGTCTGAACTTTTCGCAAGTAAGTTCCCAGTTACCCCTACACATTCTTGAGTACCGTTGAGTACCATTGATGCTCACGCATCCTCTGGTAGATTTTTGATACTCTCGACCCACATTGTACCAAGGACCTATGTCCATCACCTGCTCATCATAGCTGACATCCAGTGGCATGAGGAACGGTGCAGGTAGAGCAGGGGCATTGGCATACTTGTCATTATCCCATGTGGCGATCTGCCAAGTTCCTGTAAAGATTACGTGGGACTCAAGGGATGATGGGGCAAGTGTGCACACGCACTTGTGGATAGCGGAAGGATGGATTTCAAGCTGAAT